AAATTGGGAACCATTTTGTTTCTCCATGTTCTTTTCTGATAGTACTCTTGTCCCGAATACAGATTCCTCATCAGGACTATCAGATGTATTGGCACTCCCATGTCTTTAAGGGCATCCCATAAGCTTTCATGATCTATAGAATTAAAGGCTTTGCTATAGTCTATAAAGCACATGATGATTTTGTTTTGGAATTCCCTGGTGTGCTCCATTAGCTATCGTATGTTTGCAATGTGATCCCCAGTGAGTCTTCCTTTCCTGAACCATGCTTGAACCTCTGGAATCTCTCTTTCCATGTATGGTTGGAGTCTATGTTGCAGAATTTTGAGCATGATTTTGCTTGCGTGGGAGATCAGTGCTATGGCCCTACAGTTGCTGCAGTCTCTTGTGTCTCCCTTTGTGTGAATGGGAATGTATATTGATTGCTTCCATCTGTTGGCCATTGTTTTGTTTTCTATATCTGTTGACATATGTTGGTTAGCACTAGAACTGACTCTGTCAATATGGATAGCAGCAGTTGAATTGAATATATGCAGTTCAATTGATGACCTATGCATACTATAAAGTATCTCCTATTACCATTCACATTTTGAGTAATGCACTCCTGCTGTGACTAGAACAACACAAGTTAGAATGAATAAATAGCACTTCAGCATTCTACCACAATGTCATTATTCTCTTCATCTTCTTCATAAAGTCACATGTTCATTCCTAAGAAAGTACAAACCTTACAACAGATGCAAAAAAATCAATCATACTTTTAAACTACCAATTTTACTACTAATATATGAGGCCTCTTCCCCCTGAACTATCGGCTCATTTTACTGAAAGGAGAACAAACACCTGTATTTCTAGTCTGGACTACCAAATCAATGAAAAAACAAAGCTACTGAGAAAATGGGAATCACACAAAGAATTTACATTCTCACTGAAAAATGAAAAACAAAACAAAGCTACACTAACTTTGCATCTTTTGTTCGTGATGTATAAAATCTACCAGAACTAATGATATTGTGATGGGAAACTTAATAGCTGCATTTTGTTTATAAACACACACTTTTTAAGAACACTATGTATGCTCCAACAATTATTTGCAGAACTATTATTTTAATTCCTGCTGTTCTCAAACCTAGCAAAGGAGATTAAAAGTAGCAGCTGTTTATATTGGTAAACTTCCAAGTTTTAGCATTCTCTGTGTGTACACACACTTCTTATCTTTAGCTCCTGGAAAATAAAAAGAAGTCAGATAAATACGGCTTAAATATTAGATAAAGATAAGCCTTCGAAAAATCATAGTTTTGAGATGAAGCTGGCTAGAAAATGTTTCCCATTGATTTGCTCTCTACTTAGGCACATCCTCTCTTAGATTTCTGGCTCTGCTTGAGGTGAAACAACCCATATGACAATCGGTACTACCAATCAAATTTAGTGAAGTCTCCATTTTCACTTCACCAGGGCTTTCAAGATCAATTCTGGCAGGAGGAAGGGCACAAAGTCTTGAAAGGTGCCAAGGAGAAAGACTAAAGACTAAAGCCTAAAGCCAAGATTCAGGAAAGACATCAACTGAAAGAACTGTTTCTGTCTAAAGAACTGAGAGATGAGGATCTCACTTCCCCACTGCAACCTTCCATTCACCCAAAACACCAGCCACAGAGGTGTGGGAAATATTCAAGATCCAGTTTCCAAGATCATGGTGGCAAAAACACTGCATCACACTGATGTTGAAGTACCAGTGTCATACTGAATTTAGGCTAAGAATACTTTTGTCAGTAGCATAAGCAAACTATATATTAATTTGTTTCCAGTTTCTAAAGTTTACTATCTGAATTCAGCTCCCACCCCAAACTACCAAATTTGTTTTCACAGAATAGTAGTGTTGGAAGTGACCACAAGGACCATACAGACCAACCTCCTATCTTTAGGATAAAAATATTAGGCAAAAATGACTTGAATGTGGTATAGTGGCTTGAGTGTCAGACTGCAATTCTGGAGACCAGGGTTTGAATCCCTGCTCAACCATGGAAAACCCCTTTGAGACTTTAGGTGAATCACACTGTCTCAGCCTGCAAGGAAGGCAAAGGCAAACCCCTTTTGAACAAATCTTACCAAGAAAATCCTGTGATAGATTGCCAAAGTTGGAAATGACTTGAAGTCAAACAACAACAACAACAAAAACAGCAGCAAGATGACTTGAGACAACAGATGGACCATCTGTGCTGAAATTAGCTGTGTATTTTTAGGCCATCTTGGTTACAAGCTTAAACTTTGTTTCAAACCATTGGGGACTGCACAATACAAGAGAAAAACAACAGTAGGGAAGCACACATTTACAAAACAGTAAACTTGATAAGCAGCCAAGAGAGCAGGTTCAGGCTCAGACACACCTATAAATGTTTGATGCTATATCTACATGACACACACAAACACATACCTCCCCACTCTTCCACCCCGAAATGTAATAATAGAGCATTATTAGGCATATAATAAGAGCATTATTAAGCACATCCATTGGCTGCAGTGGAGGGGGCGAGACGTGTGCACACTGGGCCCCGAGTGCCACTGGGAAAGCGAGTACTCATGGTGGCCACCACACATTACAGGCCCCGGTAGCCCCATGATGGTAGCCTCACTCCCACCCGGTGCCTCCTGAGGAACTGTGGCACCAGACCCAGGAGGGCCAAAGGGGGGCAGTGGATAGGTGGTCGGGACCCCCCTGTGTGACCCCCCCTCTGGCCTCTGGCCAATAAGAACCCATTCCCACACCTCCTTTTAGCAGAGGCTGCTGGCCTGGCTCCTTCTCCTCAG